GGGGAGGTGATTCATTGTTCATTGAAGGTACGGGAGCTGGGGTGTCTGTTTTCTGTATGGAACATGGTTTGGAGCATTCGGGCTTCTGGCGTCAGGACTGACGTACAAGAGCTCACCAGATATCCGGCGTGCAGTGAGCTTCATCTTAGATAAGCAATTGCCGAACGGTGGGTGGGGAGAGAGTTATCTCTCATGTGAAAAGAAGGTAAGATTTCTGGACGAGATTTCTGCCCATACCCATCCTCCCCCCCCCCCCCCAACCCCCAACACACACACACACACACAACTTGTGCACAGAAATCTTTATATATTAGAGATCTACGAGAACAACAGACACAAGGTAAAATCGTATATCAAAACGACTTCTGGCATCATCAAAAGGGATAGGGACACACACACGCACACACACACACACACACACACACACACACACACACACACACACACACAATGCTCACACTCATTACCTCATTCCCAAGGTGTAGCAAGTGGAGTTCGAGCAGCCAAGGGATGCGCTATACTGCTGTAGTTCTCTACAAACAATGATCTGTAATAGCCGCGGCTAATCCTAAGGAGGATCTCATCCCAGTCACAGACTGCAGTCTTTGCCAGTCCCTAAAAATGGCCACCACTTTTGCATTCCCTGGGATCAGACCATCCTGCCTGGTTTCATGACCCAGATACATGATTTTTTATTTATTTATTTTTGTTTTCTTCTCTTTTCTCTTACGTCCGAACTGACGTTTCTCTAAGTCGATCTTTTAGTGGCTTTTTGGAAGGAGTCCTACCATCCGTCACCCAAATAGATCGACCAGTTATTATGGCTGCATCTAGGCTGAAAGTCACCCCAAATACAGCTATAATGACAGGGCGTTTTATTCGGGTGAGGACGGTAGCACTATTTTGAGATGCTCAGCGTGCTCCTCCGCAGGCTATAAAACTCGAGACAAGTACAAAATACCTTATTGCGCGTCCGATCTCCTTTTTTTTTTTTTTTTAGTAGATTTTCTTCAAGGATCTTTTGAAAAATACACAATCTATGCTAATATTAATATTATATTATTGTATGCATAGATGGAATAACTTCCGAATAAGCAATAATAATACCAATCAATGCAACTCCCATCGAGCTTGAATGTAAGAGTATTTAACAGGTTTCTTTGGCAAAAATTTTCTATTTTGATTTGCATGGCAATCTGGTTTTTATTTTTTATTATGCGTCCGATCTCACATTTCTCTAAGTTAAATCTTGGCGGAACTTCAGTAGAGTCCCAAAACCAAGTTATAATTGCATTTCGGGCACTCTACACCTGGCCAGGAAGCTGGGTCGTATACATTGCCCGAACTGCAATTCAAAACTGTATCTTGGCCCACATATAGTGCAATTACAAACTCTTTTTTTTTTGTGACTCCCGTGTAGTTGTTTCCCCTTAAAAATCTTTTACTCCCCCTTTAGGAAGGAGTCTCCTTCCTAGCACTATCTTCAGATGCTCCGAATACTCCTCTACATTCTTACGCAAGACGAGACTTAGGGCCTGATCCCACTTCTTATAGGCGAGGCACTTTTTGGTAAATATTGGGACCCCACCTCTTTCCGCGAGAGCCGGAGGTGGCCCTGTTTTTTCGAAGAAGTGGAAACAGTTTTTTCGAAGAAGTGGAAACAGTTTTTTCGAAGAGGTGGAAACAGTCTAGTACGTGGCAGTGCGAGGGTGATTTGAGGACCCGGAGTTCTTTCAAAAAACAAAAGAAGCCACCGCCGTACCTTGCACCGTGAAAGAAGGAGCCATTGTTTTTTTCTTCCTTTTTTTTTTCCCTGATGTGCAGGCCGTTGGATCCTCGAGGCGCCACAAGATAGTGCCGCTCCGTTAGGAAAAGTCCCGCAGAAGTAGGGCGTGTGGGATCCGATTTGTATAACTGGAAAACCGGTTCTTTTAGCTTTTTCCCAAAAAGACAAGAGGTGGGATCATCCCCTTAGTTTCTCAGTGACACATGGACAACATCTGCAGACTTATCTATAAGGACTCGTGGAAAAAGTTTCAAAGAAGTTGAAAAAACACAATTCATAGCGTGCCGGAACATACACGGCACATTGACAGAGCCCAAAAAAGGCATCACCACGAACTCGAACAGACCATTTAAGGTCATGTCTGAAATGTGGTTTTGTCGTGATCGGACTTCAGATCTACCTCGATGAAGTACTCACAAGAGTTGGTCATTAATGCAGGGAATGGGCTCAACATTATGGACCGTGATGGCATTGAGACCCCCTATAGTTAAGATGCATCCTTGGAGAGTACCTCCCTTTTTAGGCGCACAAACAACACTGGCGCCCTGAAAGGTGAGGCACTTGCGCTAATCCAGGCCTTGTCAGTCAGTTTCCCTGAGTTGAGCTTCTTACCAAGCTCATCTAACTCCGCAGGGGACACCCTATAAATAGATCCTTGCCTTTTTTGATGTGCAACTTCCTGGGACAATTGCTCTTGTGGCATGAGCGATCTCCCTCTCTACAGGTCCTCACGGTTCCTCCTGAAGGTCCAAATACTTAGCTGCAACGACTTTGGTGGCAAGCCCAGACAAGTATGGCATGGCCCGCGGGTGTCAGCACGAAACCTAGGGGGAAAAAAAGCTGGCCGTCACATCTGTTAAAGCACCAGTGCACCACACATCGGCCCGCGGGTGTCAGCACGAAACCCGCACCATCACTTCGGAGCACGCCGACTTTTTTTTTTCAACGGCGCCCCACGCCGTGTGGCCCCTCCGACTTTTGTTTGTGGTGATAAAACTTTCTGCAAGGCTGGGGCCAAGTACTTGCGGTTTTAAATTGGAAAGATACAGAGAAGATCAGCATCGCCCCTGGCAAGGCTGTTTTGGGGAGAAAACACACACACACACACACACACACACACACACACACACACACACACGCCTAGACAAGTTTGGCAGGGCCCTATGTGAAGTCCTCGCCTGTGGAAAATGCAGGCCTGCCTGTTCTGGAGAAGGCGGTGGTGAGAACTGTCTACTCTGGCCCCTTTCCAGAAGGCAGCCGAAGCCGAAGCAGTGCATAATGGTCTGCTCTGGCGTAAAGTGAGTGGCTGGCATTAGTCTGAGCAACCTTTGTGAGTTGGAAAGAGGAAGGACTGTAGGACACATGCTGGACGGAGGAAGCAACTCTGGCGGCCAAGATACAGGGGGACGATACCCACAGCACATGCCATAGTTAAGCTCGGCGTCTGGAAATGGGAGCCGGCGCATGGAAGGGAGATCCTGGGAGGAGGAAGAACGTGGGGAGGAAGGGTGTGGTGGTAAGGGACGCACCTGGCCGTCGCCCAGGAAAGGTTCAGTGTCGTACATTAAGCGTTCAGTCATCGGCAGGAGCAGGATTGTACTCTGCGCATCTGCGGCATTGTACGTCGGTGTGATAATATGGGCTAGGGTAGAGGATAGAGTAGTGATGACAGAGGCTGGTAGAGGATAACCCACCCCAAGACCTTGAAAGGGCATCAGCAAGCAAACATATGACAGCAGAAGTCTATATGGACATTGGACACGTGATGAGTCGGTGAAACTTCGACGAAACAGTTTGTGTTGTTGTCCCTCTTCTCCCCCTCTGCGTTGTCGGTGGCAGGATGAGTCTGTGGAGATAATGATTTTCTATGCAATCTGATATCCCTGTCCCTGCCCTTTTTTTTTTTCTTTTTTTTTTTTGTTACCACCAACAAACAAGTCACATCCTGTGTCCCTCTGCTTGTCCACACAGGTCTACACTAATCTGCCTGGAGATAGGGCTCACAATGTCAGCACTTCTTGGGCGCTCATGGTTCTCATTGCCTCAGGCCAGGTATGAGCTCTGCCATAAAACTTGGTAAAGTGTGTTATTACCTTTTTTTTTTTTTTTAATACGGAAAGTTTAGAAGCTGCTCAACTTTTTTCCTTAATTTTTGTTAGTTTCAACTTTATTAAAGTTTATTTGAATTTTTGCCTAGGCTACCAGAGTGGCCCGGCACCACATTCCCAGCCAGGCCAAAAAAATATAAAACAAATAAAATCAAGACAATGTACCAACACTCTGCGACCTTCTCCTTTGCACAACCACAAACACTATTACACTCGGCTGTAGCCGCCATCGTCTCTGTCACAATCACTGCAATGACATGGTTTCTGCATCCGTGTGTGCAGAGGACTGTCTCACCGTTCCTGACTGCAGGCACCCTCCGCATCCGGACACTATATGTCCATTTATTGCGGCCATGGGTGCTATACTGAATGCATCATGATGCTCTTTTGTGGTGACGGTTCTTCTTTCATTTTGGCCTGCAATGGACATGCCATTTGTCGGGGGTGTATGGGCGTCGTTCGACACTCCTCGGGGACGCGATTCCGTCATTCCACCTGTCCTCGGAGCCGATTTTCGGAACAGAAATGTGAAAACACTCCGAGGACAAATCCTTGGGCTCCGAGGATTTCCCAGCCAAATCGTCCTCGGCTCCAAGGGACCTCGCGAGGACAAATCCTTGGGCTCCGAGGAGTGTCGAACGACGCCCTATGGCAGGCATGCTGAGTGCCACCCGTCGTGGCAATTGTTGGGCTGAGAATGCTCAGCTACCTTCTTCCCCCGAATACAACGTACGGGGTCATTATAGCTGTGTATCTAGACTGAAACATGCGTCAAATACAGCTATAATGACCGTGCGTTATATTCGGGGGAAGAAGGTAGGTCTTCCATGTGTTCATCCACCTCATCATTACAATGTATGTCCTCTCTGTCGTCAAGGACAGACTCATTCTTGAGCCTCTTCTTATCCTCTTCATCTTCACTCCACACTCACTACTTTCCCTTACTTTCCCTTTATCGTTCTTTGTTTGTCTGCTCTCCATCTCTCCTCCCTGTGTTTATCCCCTCCCCCTTCACTCTGCCTCTTTCTCACAGCGAACAAGTGGGCTGTTATGGCACACGGGGATGGGGGCAGCTCGCGCTCAACTTCATCAACGTGGCGAGCCTTGTACGTGAGAGGCACGGTGAAAGGGGAGTCAAAAGAAGAATGAGTAAAATGAATGGTTTCACTGTGTCCTTCATGTTTGTCTTGTTATTTTTTTTATTCTTTTTTTTTGCCGTTTGTTTCGCAAATTGCWCTCTTTTAGTTCATAGTTATGTGACAATATATATACATACAGGGTAGCCGGCGCTCGGGATGGGCCGAACCCCCGAACCCGAACACCTGAACGTATGGGACCCCTTGGGGATGCGTTCGGTCGTTCGGGCCGAACGTGGACCTAAAAAAAAAAAAAAAAAAAAAACTGAAAAAAACGTATGTTATGGAAAATGATAAAATAAAAAACATTTGCCTGAGCATTACATCCAAGTTCCCTATCAAATTTGAAATAAAAATAAAATACGGAAAATAAAAACCAGGGTTACAACTTACTAGCCCATACGTACGGAGGCCCCTGGGCGGACCTCCATACGGTCGGGCATTCGGGGTCCCGTTCGGGGTCCGAACCTGAGGGGGTTCGGTCCCCGCCAAAAAATATTTTATTTCAGCACCTAAAAATTTTTATTTTTTTCTGGTTTTTTTTTTTTTGTGCGTTCTCTATGATGTTAGGTACATGATAAATTTTGAAGTCATTTTGCTAAGCCAAAAAAAAGAAAAAAAAATCTCCAAAGATGGAGGTGTCAAAACGTCCTCACCCACTCACAATTTTTTTTTTCCTTCACTTTTTTATTTTTGTTTTCACTTTACTTCAGGGCTTAAAACTTTTTTTTTTTTTTTTTTTCTTGAAACTTTTTTCATGAGTTTTTTATTATCGGAAGTACACATATTAAAAGGGCCTTTACCCGTTCAGACCCTGAATGACGAACGCAGCATAATGGGGCCCACTCAGCCAGAACCCACCCAACTCGTGAAAAGCAGACCAAAAGACATGTTCTCCTCTCTGGGTCAGAAGACTCAGAACTCACAGCCTAACTGAAGTGAGGAGTTGTGTCAAAGGTGACAGTTGTGCCCCAGGACGCACAGTTGCAGCATGATTCAATTGTGGGAGTCACGTCTGTTCGTCCAGGGGGCTGTGTAAGTCATGTCTGTTCGTGCAGTAGATGTGTCTGTTCGTGCAAAAGTTGTCTGTCCGAATGGAAGTCAATGGGGTAGAGTCCCAGTCCAAGTCAAAGTCCAACAGGCAGTCCAGATTCGGACCCAAAGGCCAAAATTCAGGCCCAAAGGCCACAGCAGCAGCAGACCCTGCAATATATAAAATTATAAATTTTCAGGATATTTGAATTCCATTTTTTATTTTCAACCCTGAGGCAGATGTTCAAATTATTTTTCTGCATAACATGGTTCTTTTTTTGGATTCTTTGGACTTTTTTTTTTTTTTTTTTTTTTTTTGCTGTGACCTTACCGGGTCCTTCCACGGGCGGGCCGCCCGGGAAAACAAGCTGACCTGGGCGGCCGGGCAGGTAGCCCAGCTTTTTGGCAACCGTAAGATGGCCTTTTATTTTTTTTTCCCTCTCATGTGGGTAAAGGAAGAAAACACACTCGTCATTGTTAGTAAACTGAACAATAGTTCGAACCCTGAAGGAACCAGCTGAATACAATAAAGTAAGGGGGGCTGCTGCCTTCATCCCAACTACGGGGTTTAGAGTCGAAAGAGTACGCCATTGGGAACTATACTAATATCAACTAATACTACTAATATATAATATAATAATGTGCACTAAGAGTTATGGGTTGAGCCTATCCCCTCGGGGTACTATATCCGCTCTACTCTGGGCGGGGAGTAGTACCCAGGCTCTATGTCTGACCCCCAGCAAGGCATGGAAGGGGGACAATCATACCTTCAAGACCAACCAGGGGGGGGGGACAAGCTGTCTATCTCAGCTGGTGAACCCGAGGCCCGCCGCAGGAGGACGTCGGGAGCCGGTTGAAGGACGCAGGGAATGGAACCGATGACCTCCTGAGTGCCACTTATGTCCCCTCTACCCTCAAAAATTCCAATTTCATTTCATAAACAAGATATGAGGCCAATGTCAGGTTTTTTTTTCTCGATTTAAGCGTGTCATCATCCTTTTCAGGGGTCTTTTGCTAATTTAGTATCTACCCTTTCTCTGTATCGTTCCGATTTTAACGGATGTCTCGAAGGACACCAAGGTCAGGCTTCAGGTAACCCCAGGACAAATGCAAAAAAAAAAAAAAGAAAAAAAAAAAAGGAAAAGAATGAAAAAAATTGGGGAAAAGATATGTTGGGTTGAATAATTGAATTCCAAGGCAAACTTTTGACTTAGTGTTCACGATATACTTTGAAATTTAATATAAAAGTTAATAAAACTGACAACTCAGTGACGAGCTCCTCCTTCACATTTGTGAGATCTTGAGGACCCAAAAAGAAAAACAACTGGATGAAATGATCTTGAGTTTTGCATCTTGTTAAATGTATGCAGGCCTCCTTGTCTGCCTCGGAGTCTCGGACAGCATGCCGTTCTTTTTGTTTTGTTTTCTTTCTTTCCTTTTTCCGTCGGTCAAGCTGACAGACAGAATGTGCAACTAGAGAGTCGTCGTCGTCGTCCTTTTTTCTTCTTTTTTTTTTCTTTTTTTTTTGGTAGGCTGTGCACATTCTGCATCTTCTTTTTCTTTTCCTTTTTTTTTTCTTTTTGAAGTTGTTCACGTTCTCGGTAGGGCAGTTGGCATTTCAGCTCAAGAGCGCAGGTACCACCCCGCCTCACCCTCAATTCCGCACCGGGAGACCTTTACGGTATACCCAGTCGTACAGGCATCACCCTCAGTCCCCCAGATGTTCTGCGAGTTGCCCTTCCGTTCTCTTCAAGAACCGCCTAACCCCACCGACTACAATTTCTGGGGCCGTCCCATCCCCCCATACACGCTAGGAGTTTTTCGACGGAGCACTCTGGACTTAATCGCGGTCACATACATTCCACAAGTGACTGTGTTCTCGGTTGGATAAATCCAGGAAAGCACTAATGTGAATAGTATGGTCTTAACCGCCTCCCTCCCTCTGTCATAACTTTTATTGAACTGTCTTGAAGTGAGTGTGCAGAGTCCACAAAAGCCTCTCCCTCCCCCCCCTAGAAGGCGGCAATTTTTTATTTTTTTTCCCCCTCGTCAGCGCTCGCAGACACCCGTTTGCACTGGTCCAGCTCCAGTCGGACAGTTTTTTTCTGGCTCTGGAGATCGGGACCAGGATTGGGACTCCCGCAACCAGCCGGCGGGACGCATGGGACAGGTGTTCCGATATTGAAATCCACAGCCATGTGGGACACGTGCGCCAGTACCGAGTCCCACAACCAACCTATGGGACACATGTTCCGGTAGGGAGTCCCACAAGCAACCTGCAGGACACGTTAGACATGTGTTCCAGTACGGAGTCCCGCAACCAACCTGCTGGACTGGTTAGACACGCGTTCCACTAGTGAGTCCCACAACCAATCTGTGGGACATGCGGCAGATGTGTCGGCCATGCGGGACACATTTTCCAGTAGCGAGTCCCACAACCAACCTGCGGAACACATGTTTCGGTAGCGAGTCAAACGACTGACCTGCACGACACGTGCAACGCATGTTCCTGTAGCAAGTTGGGCAACCAATGTGTGGAACATGTGGGACACCAATGTGTGGGACATGTGAGACACCAATGTGTGGGAGGGGACATGTGGGACACCAATGTGTGGGACATGTGGGACACTTGTTCTGGTAGCGAGTCCCATAACCAACCTGTAGGACAGATGGGGACACATGTTATGACTGGTGAGTCCCACAACCAACTGGCAGGACATGTCGGACACTTGTTCCAGTATACCGAGTCCCAACCAACCTCTGGGACATGTGGGACACGTCTTCCTGTAGTCCACCAGATCCTACAGAACTCGTTGACAGAAGGAATCATGGATGTATGCAGGACAGGCAAAAGCAGTTGACACTTTACACAAGTTTACGGAGCAGTTCTCCGTCACAGGTGTGTAGGGTTAAAGACTCCTAGAGGAATGTGGAAGAGAACTTTGTACGAGACGCACAAAGTCTTGCAGTCCTAACCCAAAAGAACTTAGTATTTCTTCGGTGACATTGAGAAGACTCGGAAAATTTAAGCATACCCACACGGCCTAGCTCAGTGGGTACACCCATGAACTGTTGAAATACAGACCCGAGTTCGAATCCAGATGATGGAAGTTGATTGATGAGTAAAAGTTGTAAAACCAACTATTAATGAATTGCTTGGGGCCAGTCAGCTCAATGATAATATTTCAAGGCTGTCGCCCTTTTAAAAAAAAAAAAAAAAAAAGTATTACTTTTTTCTTCTTCTTCTTCTTCTTCTTCTTCTTCTTCTCTGTATCGTTCCAATTTTAACGGATGTCGGGAAGGATGCAGTAGTAGTACTACTTGTATGTGGTGGGATTCTAAATTTCTGACAGAGTCAGACAGACAGTACCATACATGGCAGGGATCTGATCTCTGGGACCACCATATGGTCTGTCGGTGAGAAGCTTGGCTTGGTTGGATATGTTTTATTTTATTTTTGAGTAATTTTTCAACTTTTTCTTGTTGTTGGTAAACTTTCTAAAGTGTAAAAAAAAAAAAAAAAAAAAAAAAAAAAAAGATCGTGAGGTTTGCTGCTTGCTGCTCTGAGCTGACTTCTGGCACTGTTGTGATGCCTGCAGGCTGAGCGCGATCCTAAACCCCTCCATGCTGCAGCCCGGATTCTGATCAATTCGCAGATGGATAATGGTGACTTTCCTCAACAGGTAAGTGTTGTTTGTTTGGCCTTTTTTGTGCACTCCAAAGCCTTTGAAGGGCCATTGTTAGTTATGTTCACCCACTCTTTGCTTTTTTTCTGCCTCTTGGTGGTACTCCACTGCGGCCTCTTTAAGGAATCTCCTTTTTTTTTGGGGTTGCAGGGGGGGGGGGGGGGGGGAGGATTTCTCAATTTATGCATGTCAACCTTTGCGCAGGGGTCATGATGATCTCCTCTGTATCATTCCAATTTTAACGGATGTCCCAAAGGACATTTCCCTAATTAATTTAAGCATGGCGGTTTCTCCGTAATAGAAATTTGGACTCCACCAAAAAAGAAAAGAAAAAAAGAAAAAATAAATAAAATAAAAAAAAATTGGACTCCACATTACTGCCCATTTTGCAGACTATTACGAGAAGGGCACCTTAACCACATACTACCTCCCACGGAGTTGAGTTCGGGTCTGCAAAGAAATGATTGAAGGATATTCTTCCGCGAATGGCTGCAGCTCCCGTTGGGGTGCCTGTGTCCCTGTAGCAACTAGGAAAAGAGGCCGTGCTACGACGTCCGCATTTTAATGCGCTGGGGGACGAGGTGTCAGACCAGACGCGCTCCAGCACACAGAACTTAAATGATGAACGTTTTTACAGGCAGTAGGGGCGGCTCATAAAAATGAATGAAAAAATCAGAAAATTCTGAAAATTTGAAAATGCAGTGGAATCCCGGGTACTTCGAGGAAATCCCTCGTCGGTATACAACCAACCCTCTGTCTGGCACACTCCTCTCTCGATGTGCAACGCTCTGTCTGGCACCGTCTTCTCTTTCTCGCCCCCCCTTCTCCCCCTTTGATGGCGACGGCCTTGATATATATTATTGAATGATTGAACTGACCGGTCCCAGGGAATTCAGAATGATTTTGTTTATAAAAAAAAAAGAAAAAAAAAGAATGATTTTGTTTTTTCTGTTCATCAGGTTGTATCCGGATTCGAGACTGAGTCTATATATTTCAACAGCTCATGGGTGTACCAACTGCAATGGGCCCATCGGAACACTCTTCTCTTTCTCATTTGTTCCTTTTTTTTTTCTTTTTTTTTTTTTGAAACAGCTCAGCCAAGTACTAGGGGTGCTGATATAATGTGTATCATAGACGGAGACTGATTTACTATTTGTGCTTTTTGCTGCTGCGGACTCTGAATGATACTGGGCCTTGCCGCACCACTCACCAAATGTGAAAAAAAACAAAAACCTATAGCGGGTGTGTCTTTCAATGTTTGACGAGTAGTGCTGTGAGACCTTTAGTAGTAGTCGTGGTGGTGGTGGTGGTAGTGGTGGTAGTGGTAGTAGTGGTAGTAGTGGTAAACTTGTAGTAGTAGTGGTTGTTGTAGAGAGAAGCAGAGAACAAACTGCCTTTCGAGCCTGATCATTCAACCAAGTGTTTGACGTAATCTTCATTTGATGCTCTGCGCTGAATGAAAGCATGCAAGGCAAGGACGTCAACGAAAATTTCGTCGAAAAGCGTCAGAATATGCACCAGACACCGGAGTTGAATCATCGTGATACCAGATTACAGTTGAGGACTGAGAAATGACACGAAGTCCAGAGACATAATCGGGTCACTGAATACCACCCAGCCTAGCCATGCCAAGGGTCGAGTTGTGCGCGACTTCCACCATGTCTTTTCTTTTGCTGCGTGTGCGTCTTTTTCTATTTTCTGTGGCAGTGTTTGTGTTAGTAGTGCCAAGTACCATCCAGTCCACACAGTACAACACAACCCACAGTAAAAAAAAATGCGTTATCCAGTGCACATTGTACCACACAACCCACAGTGAAAAAAAATGCCTCTTCCGCATAGTATCACCCAGTTTCGTAGAAAGGGTTGAGCCAAGTCGAGCTGAGGCGAGGGAGTGGGAGTGGGAGTGGAAGTGGGAGAGGAGTTGGAGTGGGAGAGGAGCTGGAGTTGGAGTTGGAGTTGAGCTGTGTTGAGGTAGTTGAGGTGAGATGAGTTGATTTGAATTGAGTTGCGCCAGCTTAGTCAAACTGAAGTGATTTGTGTCGAGCTGCTGAGTCGAGTAGAGGTGAATGGAGTGGAAGTTTCGTTCGTTCGAGTTCGTTCGAGTTTGGATTTGGGACTCTTTCGTTCGTTCGAGTTTGGATTTGGGACTCTAGTGCTGTGGAACTTTAGATGAGTGAAGTTGAAATTGGACCCGAGTTGCGTCAAGTTGCATCGAGCGAATATGGACTTTGATATAGTCCAGGTTCACAAGAATGGATGGGAAAGGAATGGCAGAAGGGATGGCGGACAAAGTCCACGCACTTGGGCGCATGGATGTTATTCATATCATAAGCAAAAGAAAAACCAACAAAAGGAGATCATTTCTCAGTTGTTCCATCTCTTCCGTAGGGCAAAAACCAAACTAAATCTCCATCTCATTCTCTGAACAGATGTGTTCAAAAGGACTATGTCGGAGACTTTTGACTAAGTGTTTTTTGTTTTTTGTTTTTTTTTTTTTTGCTCGTTGATCTCTGAAAAGATGTGTTCAAAAGGACTATTTGTGAGACTTTTGACCAAATGTTTTTTTTTTTTTTTTTTTTTTTTTTTTTAATTTTACTAGTTGTTGTCAACTTATCACTTGTTGCCGTTGATTCTTTGCCTTGTGTGGACATTTTCCCTGTGTTCAGGAGATCATGGGAGTTTTTAATGCCAACTGCATGATATCGTACTCCAACTACCGCAACATTTTCCCGATCTGGGCACTCAGCATGTACCATACTCATGTCTTGAAGAAGAGAGGATGAGTGTGCACAGAAATTGGGCTGGTCATGCTTCACGACTCGCGGAAGGATGATCTATCCATTGGGTACAAGCAAGATTCACAGTCTAGGGTTTAGGGTTTAGGGTTCGCATTTAACCCCTATTTGAACCTGTGGTTAACTTGCGAAAGAGGGTTATAAACTTGTAAAGGGCTACAGCGCTGCGCGTAAGGCCAGGTGAAATCCATCAAGGTATCTGATAAGGTGATTCTTGGGCTCCTCTAGGACAAGAGAGCAAGCTGCACACTTTAGGGTTAAGGTTTGGGCCCTTTTGAGGCTTTCGATACCCCCCGAGGTGGGGTATCGTAGCCCATTTTAATGCCAGCTGAAAACCTTGAACGTATCCGATGATATGATTGCTGGGCTTCTCTGGGACGAGAGCAAGGTGCATATTTTGGGGTTTGGGCCCTTTCGAGGCTTTCGATACCCTTTTAAGTGGGGTGTAATTTGCATTTTAAGGGGTCAGTGTTTGGGTCATTTGACGTCTCCGATACCCCCCCCTAGGTGGGACGTCAGGGTGTTATGGATTTGCCCAGGACTAGGACCCTGGACCTCCTTCCGGGTATCACACTTTTACTCTCCTGACCCTTTTTTTTTTTTTTTTTTTTTGTTGTTGTGTGTCCTTGGTGCCAGGCCGCCGGCCCATTTACATGTCCGTCTCTTGGACATTTTCCCTTGCTGCCCGTCTGGTACTCACTTATTCCGGACATACCCCTGGGACCAACCCAAGCTCGGACCTGCTCTCAGGTATATGTACCGGTGCTGCACATCTTTTCGGCATCATTTATTTATTTATTTATTTATTTATTTATTTATTTATTTATTTATTTATGTCTGACTACGACATTGAATTGTTTCTGCTACTTTCTGGTACTCTTCTCTGAGGAGTCTGAGCATCTGTTCGTCATCCCAGTTGAGTTCTACGGCAGAGTCTCTGTGAGAGTGTGTATGTGTGTTCATTCCCTTACACTGCTGCACCTCCTTGGACCCACTGCTTATAACAGAGGGGTTATAATTGCGTGGAAATGCCAGCTCTAAGGTATTTGGAGCTCCGGCAGCTCTGAGCAGATACAGCCCCATGGCTCCTCTCTCTCTCTCTCTCTCTCTCTCTCTCTCTCTCTCTCTCTCTCTCTCTCTCTCTCTCTCTCTCTC